TAGGGCTTCTCTCCGGTGTGGATGCGCTGGTGGCGCCGCAGAGCTCCCGGCTGCGTGAAGGCCTTGCCGCACTGCTCGCAGAAATAGGGACGCCTCTCTGGGAACAACCAGCCCCTTAGGAGCAGCTCCTCCAAGGCGGCTCTCCAGCGCCCGAGGCTCGGAGCCGGCTGGGAGAGCTGGGGGTGTCCGTGCCAGGGGGTGGGATGGGATGAGCCCTGAGGTGCCTCCCAATCCCAACCATTCCGTGGGAAATGTTCCCCAATGCCCGCCGAGGCCGCGGCCGACCTCCGCCCCCAGATTCCGCACAATCCGGGCCTCGGGGTTTTTTCAGGGTACCGCGCACGGCGCCCGTGAGCCAGGGTCAGGATGAGCCCCGCTTCCCGATGGAATTCCCCTCCTTGGAATCCAAGGAATGCCTGGATGTGGCACTCGGTGACGAGCTGGGGACACAGCTCGGACCCGACGTCCTCGGAGCCCTTTCCCAACCTCAGTGGTTCTGGGGTCCCACCCCCAGCGGGAAGCAGCACAAAGGCAGGATCCCTTTCCCAGCCTGGGAATTACCTGCATGGACGTTGCTGTGCTGGGCCAGGGAGGCTCTGAGGCCGAAGGTTTTCCCGCAGACCTGGCAGCTGTAGGGTTTGGCTCCCAGGTGGCAGCGCTTGTGGCACTTGAGGTACTCGTTGGTGGCAAAGTGTTTCCCGCACACGTCGCACCCGAAGAGCCGCTCTCCTGAGGGAAGAGAAACCAGGAATTCTCCCAGGGGGATTTATCCGTAGGAGTCGGCCTGTGAATCCCAGAGCCCAGGCTGGGTAAGGGCTCCGAGGTCATCGGGTCTGACCTGTGCCCGATCCCCGCCCCGGCAGTGTCCCCGGGCACACCCAGGCGTGGGGACTCCATCCCATTCCAACCCTGAGAACCCTTTCCATGAGGGATTCCTTCCCGATACCCTCCCCTGGCACCACTTGAGGACGTTCCTCTCATCCTATCCCTCGGTCCTTGGGAGCAGAGCCCACATCCCCCCCGGCTCCTGTCAGGGAATTGCAGAAAGCAACGAAGTCCCTCCTCTTCTCCAGGTTACAAGTCCTTCTATCCCCATGAATTCCTTCCTGGTACTTGGATACTTTTCCAGGAGTTACAAAAAAGGGAGCATTTCTTTCGTATCTCAGCAATAAAACAGGAAAGGGGTGGGAAAAAACCAGCTGGAATATTTAATTCCCACCTGTGTGTGTCCTTTTGTGGCCGGTGAGTTTTCCTCTGTCGGCAAAGGAAGCGCCGCAGTCCTCACAGATGTAGGGCTTCTCCCCGGTGTGGGATCTAATGGAGACAAAACACCGGTGATTAGGGATTAATTAGGTCTTGATCCCTAAAATGCTGGGCCTGAAACGATGTTTGGGTTTGATATATAGTGGGAAAAGGAAACTCTGCTCCCTCAAAAAACAGAGTGTCTCCAGGAGTAAAATTCCCATTTAAAAGTTACCTTTTAAAATTTAAAACTCTCCTTTTAAAATTTAAAATCCCCCATTTAAAATTTAAAATTCCTGTTTTAAATTTACCTTTTAAAATTTAAAATCCCCATTTAAAAGTTACCTTTTCCTCACTTTTATGCCCTACAAAATCCTTTTTTTTTTTTTTTTTCCCACCCCTGGCAGCTCAGAGCATGGGAAAAGGGAAAGAAGGGAAAATGACAGAAAGTCATTTTCTGACAGTCTCTGACAGAGAATCAGAAAAATCTGAGCCTCAATGTTTGGTCTTAACTTATTCCAACCCAAAGAGGATGACATCCAAAATCATTCCTGATTCTGAGCCGTCAGGACAAAGGATTGTCATCACTCTTGCTCCGAAGAGGGGGAATTCCAGGGGATGATTCACCCTCTCCTGGGAGAGGACACATCCACGCAGACACCACCACCAGGGAGCAGCTCCTCCCGTCAAGCTGCAACCGAGCAGCGCGGATCTGGAGCTGTGCACGGAGATGAAATCCCATGGCGATCCCTTGCTCCGGGACCCGCTGATCCAGGATCCCTGACTCACTCCTCGTCACCGAGGGCCGGCGTGGGGTTTTAGAGCCTGTCCCGAATGACGGACATTCCTCGCAAGTTTGGACGGGGCATCCGTGTCGAAACCCCGACCGCGGGAAACGCAGCACGGAGCCAAAGCCTTCGCCTAAAGGGGAATTCATCACGGATCCCACCGAACCCGATATCCCGGCGTTCCTGCTCTAAGGGGCAAGCAAGGGGCACGGCTGGAGTCTGACCTGGTATGGATCTTGAGCTGGGACGGCTGAGCAAACCTGGAGCGACACACGGCGCACTCGTAGGGCTTCTCGCCGGTATGCGTCCGCATGTGCAGCACCAGCGCCGTGCGGGAGCTCAGCATCTTGCCGCACACGGAGCACAGCGGCCGCTTGGCCCTGCCCTCGTGCTTCCGCACGGAATGGCTCCTCACATCCCGCTTCCTCTTGAAGGTGGCCTGGCAGAGGCCGCAGGAGAACCTCCTCTCCTCGCTGTGCACGCAGGCGCGGTGCTCCTTGCAGCTGGTGGAGCTGGCGAAGGCCTTGCCGCACTCCTCGCAGCGGTAGGCCTTGCCGGGCAGGCTCTGGTGCGCGTCCCGGCAGTGATCCACGTACTGCTTCCGGGAAACAAACCGCTCCTGGCACTTGTCGCACTGGATCACGCACAGGGATTTCTTGTTGGCCACGCTTTTACCGGCCTTCTTTAGCTTGAACCCCGCTTCACAGGGTTCACTGCTGTCCTTCTCTGTTGAGGCTTCCTCCTCCTCCTGCTCGTGACATTCCTCGTTGTCTCTGCTTCCTTCAACTTCCGAGTATCCCGCGTCGTATTCTCCCTGCTCCTCGCCCTTCACACTCATTCCACCTTCATCTTCATTCCCTCCTTCAG